TAGATTTCACTTAGAGGCACCCGTTTTAAAGCCTTAACACAAGCATTTCAACGTTCACTAGAGAAAGCATTCAAATCATCTCTCTCTTCTATGTCTCGCTAAAATCGAAAAAAAACCGTATCTCGTTCAGCACGCATTGAGCATTAAACGACATTGCAAAAATGTGGCATTTTGAACCAATTGTATAAGTAATACAAGATTTAATACGTAGTTAAACGTAATGTTTACATATGTAAACAAGTAGTCGATTGAAATGTGTGAAACTGGGTTATCTTTATAATGAAATAACCTGCTAGCGGACGTCAGAAATGTCAACTGCCAGTTTAAGGGCGTTTGTGTCAAAATAGCGCAAACTCTAATACTGCATGAACGTATTAGCCGAGCAATAACTCTCTATTATTACTCGGTAGAAACTAGCCGGGAAAAGTATAAACGTTTTGAAAAAGGCGCCTTTGTTGTCAAAACACTCAGCTGACAGTCAGTGACAAACAGTCAAGCTGTCAGCGTGCGTGGCGAAAGTTATTACTTTCCGCACGGGATGAAGAAAGTTTAATTGAATAATGGGCGGAAAGGTAAATTGTCATTGTCACTGTCATGTAATGAGTAAAAGCGATTCTTTCGCTATCGAAAACTGGCGAAACTGTGCACTTTCCACCAGGGGATCAACAAAATCGATACGCCAGACGAGAGTCGAAGGCCAGCAATTATGCATGCATATCAACTTGCAATTCAGCAGTTGCAAAGCTTCGACCTTCGCCTAGTGTACCGTAATATAGGTACCATTATGACATGATCAAAACATAAGGAGCTACACGACAGGCGCTCTTATAATTCGTTGAATATAATTTTCTTTAGACTTTAACGACTTAACACTTTGCCATTCTTCTCAGACTTCTTTGAACTCAATTTTAGCAACGCCAATAAAAGTGTCAGCTGAGTGAATCTAGGTTTCATGCGGCAAGAAAAAATGTTGATGTATGGCGACGAGTCCGTATGAGCTCGTCCCTCGCAGTGCTTGTTTGGATACATTTTTCAAAAAAAAGCGAAGAAAGTCACCAGTTCTTGAAAAAACGCGTTAGAAGTTTTAGATCCAAAATAATCGAAACTTTTGGCTCAATTTACGTGGTTTTTGAACCGCCACGACCTCTGACCAACGATATCTTCCTTATTGTAGACTCGGACACTTTATGTGTGCATATTAAAGGGCTTTTTACGTCGAAAGAAATCCATTGAGCTGAAAAAACGCACATGATTAGTTTTGATTTTTGGTCGTATGTTTCTTAAAGGGTCAAGTCGATTTTTAAAATATCAATTCTCTTAAAATGGCTCGAATTCTGCATCATTTTCATCTCAATGAACCGA